CAATTGGATGAGTTCTATTGATTTAAGCGAAGGTAGGATGTTCTAACTACCTAAAATCTCAAAATTCTATATCGCTCGCTTTCACAAAATCTAGTTTGTTTCCTCCTAAAAAACACTTACATACAAATAGGTAAATAAATACATCCAATAACCTTACCAAACACCAACAATCGCGCATTTCACCACAACAAATTCACATGGTTATTGCTAAAAAAACAGTTGTATTGAAAAAGACGATGACAGTGATTATTACTATTATTATAAGGGTCTGTTTAATTGTAAGAGTGAAATTTGGGTGGAAAGAAAATGAATTCCAGATAATTGACTTGTCTAGAATTGTTTTACTGGGATGTTTCAATTAATTGCGTTTAATTAGTATAATTTTTCTCGTGAAAAATATTGAAATTTTGGATCTTTTGGTGTTCACTTGACTTTGTTTTATATGAAAATTATCCATTAATAGGATATAATTTGTTACAATTGGGGATAGAATTTGTTTCCATTGCTAATAATAATAAAAAAAGTAACCTGAAAAACCAAATCCCACCAAATTGGTGGGAATTGATTTTCTTCAAAACCATGGAATTGGAACCGTGTTAGGCAAAAGATGGAAAATGAATTGCCAAGAAAATTTTCCCAATCAAACACGACTTTTGGTGGAAAATGAAATTTCATTTCCAAGTTCTATGGAAAATTGCCAAATCAAACATGACCTAATATTACTACTTCACCATTAATAGCGAGGCTTACCAAACCAATAAAGTTTCCAACTATTATACTCACTTATAACATCTAAAACTCACTTGATGTAGTGCACCCCAAATTCCATGTGTATTATACTTCGCGATGTTCACTAGACACGCTACCTTTCAAACGAACGTATCTAGTATGACATATTCAAGTTCACATACCAACTGCTATATAATGCATTTTAACATTATAAGGAACACATAAGTCTCCGTCTTGTTAACAAGATCAGCTGTATTTGCTCTATGACTATATCTGATTTTATTTACTGTTTATGACTATCAAGTTTCTTGTCTTATGCTCATTATTAGTTCATGATCTCTCTAAAAAATTGAAGCACCTCGACTATTTTCGATTCTTTTTCATAAATACATGACTATGCTGTGTTCGTGATAAAGTATGCAGAGTTCATTTTGTTTTTTCGTATCTATGATTCTTGCTGAATAAAATATTTTCCTAGATAAGTTGCAAAATTTGTGAGGTATGTAATGGCTTTTTATCAAAAACATGTATGGTTTTGTTCATTCATTTGTGGGCGAATGTTCATTGATTTTTATTTTCATCGTATATTTAGAATAGTAGTTTCGTCTCATTCGACCCATTTGTCTCAATTTGTAAATTTATATTGTGTTATTTATGTTAATATCCAAATTCTGTTCTGGAAATTGTGTAATCCCCATAATACGTTATATACTCATCGTTCGAAAATAATTAGGGTCCGTTTGATTGAAAGGGTGGAAAATGGGTGGAAAGAAAATGAATTCCAGGGAATTAAATTGTTTAGAAATTGTTTTACTGGAAATTGTAATTAATTGTGTTTGATGGGTATAATTTTCCATCTGGTCCGTTTGGCTTCGTTTTTATGAAAATTGTCAATTATAGGAATAAATTTTTTTTACACTTGGGGATAAAATTTGTTTAGATTGATAAAAAATTAAAAAATAAAAATTGAAAAAAAATTGGTGTTCGTTTAACTTTATTTTAGATGGAAATTGTCAATATAAGGGATAATTTTTTTTATTTTTTTTTATATGTATATTTTTTTTTACAAATGTGGATATA